CTTGGCAACAAAATATACCCCACTCTCTTGTCCCCATAAACTGACATGTTGACAAGATATGAGACATCAAACATGCTGGTGTCAGTGGATCAGGAATTCCTCCTGTCATTACTAACAGCACTTCACTGATAAATCCAGCTCAGGTTGTACGTTGAGACCTGCTTTCCAGGAAAGGGACACCATATGATAAATAAGATAGAGCCAGACCACCCGTGACAATACAGCAGGTGCATTTGGTAGCCCCAGGCGCCTGTCAGCTCCAAGTTGGGGAGCTGTGAAGGAGTAACTAATTGCAAAATAGATAAATTACACCTTCAGCTGTGGGGTTGAACACATCAAGGTCTTAAGGGTACTCCTGAACCTTATTACTTTTAGAGCAGCAGAACATTTCATCTGCTCAGGAAACATCACCTCTGGAGGCAGAGGGGAACCAGGGAACCAGTGTCTGGGTTGATAATCATTTTGCCAGCCAACAGCTGTATAGTGTAGCTGATCCCCTTGTAATCCACGAAGATATACAGGGGGCTGGAGCACAGTGCCAGCATTTCTATATGCTCTTGCCTTTTTTGCCCCCTATCCCTTTTTCAGCCTCTGGCAAGCTGCTGAATCATGGTACAGGTTCAATACCCAAAAATGTCTGTCTTGGTTATCTCTTGTCTTCAGCGTCTTTTGTTGGTCAACTCCATGGTCAGAAATGTTCTCAATAAAGATGTATCACTTGCATATATTAACTAGATCTTTTTGTGCTGTGATCAGTGTACCTGCCACCAGAATAGCAATTCCAATGGCAAATTTGCAACTAAATCAGGATAATTAGTTAATTCAGGAGGCTTTTGGCCCATCCATAGAAATCTTCACGCTGTTGCTACAACTGAAAACAAATTAAGAATAATCGCATCCAGTTATAAACAATTTGTTATAACATAGAATCACAAATCATTATTATCCCTTTCTTCCTCAGACAAATCACCTTAGCAAAGCTTTGTTATTCATAAGTAGTTTAAATAACATTATTACTTATTCTCAGGAGTATTATTAGTATTCTTTGGAAGGTAAAAGTGCCATCCACAGTGTCCAGGGAAAGCAAAACAGGCTTAACAGTTGCTAGCATGTTTTCACTAGCAATGCCAGTAGGATCACAAAAAAAATCAACATCTCAAGACCAAATTCCTTTTGATATTGTGTGCAATTTCAAGAGAAAATACAATGAAATTCTGTGAGGAGTTTCTTTTGATGCACCATCCAGAAGCATTATTTCACCTGACAGTTATTCACAAGTTTCCTATCAGCTAAATATTTTGCAGATAGAGTTAAATAGACAGAGGTTTCACACACATTTGGATTCTGCCTACACAGCCTGGGAAAGGAATTTTCCACTTTGTACTGCTGAGAGAAATGCAGACGCTGTAGGCTACGGTATCATGTTCAGAGGAACAAGGTGGGTAGGAGAGGGCATTAGGAACTATTATACTCTAGGGAAGAAAGAGCAGACAGGGGCACAATGGAAGTGCTTCATTATATTTTAAATGGGAATAGTTCCAAGGATAGGAAAGCCTGTGGTGCTTGTAAAAGATTAAGCAGGGTAATGTGCTTTTTAAGAAGACATAAAGAGGTATGTAATGTGATATGTTTAAGCCTAAATGATTTTTCTTGGAGTCCTCAATGAATGTTTAAGCAGGCATGACTTAGGCTTCTGTAAATCCTCTCCAAATAAATAACTTCCATGAAAACAGAGATTCCTTTGACAGAATGAGATGCATATTTCATATTTCAACGTATGCAAAAAAGGAAAATCAATTTGTGATACATGAAACACTTAAGAATAATAATAATAAAAAGAAGATAAAAATGAATATTCTCAAGAATAATCCAGGCATTTATAGGAATACAGCTACCTCCACATCCGTTTTGATTTGACAGAGCAGGAAGACAAACAACTGAAGGCTTCCCTGCCTTCAATTCAGATCCTCGGCTCCTTTTTGCTGCCTTTTGAGACAGCAGGAGACGTTAAGTGGCAGAAAATATCTAAGCTGTCTCCTGTTTGAGGTATTTAAAAAATTGCTCTCTCTTCATGGTAAATCTATTCAGCTGGAATCTATTCTAACTGGACCTGATGGTGTATATGGCTTTTCACTACAGTTGGAATAGGAGCAAACAGTGAAACACACGCACCTGATTTATGAGAAAAACAGGACTAATAAATACCAATACCTGAAAACTTACAATGGCATGGTCTTCCCATCTTATCCCTCTTGCCTGCCCTGCCCTCCCGCCAGGAAAAGCAGGTCAAAGTGGTAGATTGCCTGATGCAAAATGGGTCTGTGCAATCATTGCCATTTGCCTGTATTGTATTTTCCCTCACAGAGTTTCCATTCCCCATGAAGTCACCGGTACAGCAAGCACACAGTCCTGCTGAGTGAGCGGGATGATGCCATGACCAAATCAGTGCTTGATCCTCCTTCCCTTTCTGCTGTTTATATATACATTAGTATTAAACTGCTACTTTCCTCAAAATAAAGGGTGCCAACTCCACTGTAATCTGCAGAATAAAAGCAAGAGAAAACTAAAGAACTTTTAAGATGCAACAAAAACGTTTGACAAAACCTCTTCTGCGATGTCTACTTGCAAACCCCATTTAACCTCAGAGAGAGTTTGCAAGGACCCCAGCAGCAAGGAGTGTTGTTATAGAAGAGCATGTCCACCATGCTCATAACACCCTTCCTGCTCACCTCTCTCCTATGGTGGTCCCTCCTATCACAGTCCCTTCATGGCCACTAGGAAGCCCAGTGGAAATCCCTTTCCCATTCCTATTTGGAAGCACACGTGAAGTCTCAGCCCTCACTTGGCATTCCAGGAACATGTGCTGAAGTAATGGCCTCGGAGAGCTTGGACAAACTGCTGCTCAGTCATGCTTTAGTGCTGGTTAATGCTAGAAGCAAAATGAAGCACAGAGGGAGACCTGTTGGCTTAGCTTGTCCAGGGTTGCAATATGGTTGAGTTAATAGCTCTGATGTGGCCACTTAAATTTGTTCAAGACCCTGAAGAACATTATGAAGTATATAAATAGGCCAAGGAGATTCATGAATTCTTTTCTCTGAAATGCTTTCATTTTTTTTGAAGTATGTTACAGAGATTATAATCTCTGTCTCTTATCAGCTATCTTTTTAAATACTATTTTTCCTTGTCTGAGATTAGCTTCTAAAATCACATTCGCATCCAGCTTTCTTCCTGAGTAGGCTAAACACAATCTCCCAAAAGCTTCTGTGTGAACAGCAACTGGCAAATAATCTTTTTCTGTGTCATTTTTTTCCTGTAAGATGAAAGAAGGAGAGAAACTGTGCACACATAGGTAGTTGTGCATTAGAGTTGGGCCCAAGTCCTCTGGTATTTTAAAATTGGAGGGTGGTTGGCTTGCTCATATGCTGCAACTTTGTTTTTCAACACTATCATTTGCAAGTGCTTACTCCTGGGAAGCAGAGGAATAGGAAATTAAAGAACTCAGCTATTTCTGGGTTTGTAGGTTTTAGGACAGCAAATGCCATGTTTCCAGGAATGAGAAATAAAAGACTGTAATCTGGAATTACCTGCCAGCATGATACACTGGTGGGGTTTTTCAGCTGAAAGCCATTAGTCAACAAGCTGTGTTTGATGTGCTCTGGTTTTTGAGTCTTCTGAAACCCTTAGTATAACTTGGAAAGGCAAGCCAGAAGGAGGGCAGCTTTTTGATATACAAAAGGCAAAACTCAGCTTTATCAGCCCCTTACAAACAGAGCTAAAATATATTTTCTCAAAAAAAGCAATTTCCTTTAGCCAATAAATCTTCAGACTGTCTTTTTTTCCTTGCTTTTTCAGCTTATAACTTTATCTAAAGGGGTTTCAAAAGTGCAGTTCCTCAGGGCCTCTCTTGCCTCTTCTTTCATGCTGTTTAGTCCTTCAGAGAAAATATGATCTCAGTTGTACAGAGGGTGGATTAGCGATTTTTAAAACTCTAAAGAATCTTTGTTATTTTGTAGTTCTTTTATCAAGAGATCACCAGTGATATCATCGTTCTTTTTAACATATCCTTTCCTCTCACATGTTTGTATCCAGTGTGAAAATACCAGAAATTACAGGTTTTCCTGGCAAATGGATTTTGGTGGAGACAAAATGCAGAGTTTGACTGGATTTGGTTGAAGTCTCTAAACCAAGCTTAAAACAAATGAACAGTCAACTCCATGGATATTTGCTCTAATCAGTCTTCACATTAAAATAAAATCTATAAAATATCATATATCTCAGATGTGATTTAAAACTCTAAATATGAAGATACCATGGTAGGGAAAAAGTTTATATACAGTCATTCATTACCCCATATTTAGTCTCGTACTGAATCCTTTCATGGACTAGTCTTTGAAATGTAGCTATCAACCAAAAACAGGGGAGGGAACTATTGCATTTGCAAACGTGCCTACAAAAATTTACTCCTGCTCTCTAAGTATTACCCACTTCTAAACCCACTACAGAAGATGGCTGTGAGGCTTTTTTTAAAGCTAGATGATATTTTTCTACCTACCTCTCTCAAAACACACATGACTCAGAGCTATAGCTGAAAGCCAAGATTTTCAGTGTCAGGACTCTACAAAAATAAATGAATCAACGTCTTGCAGTCACGATCCTTTACCTTTTGTACAGCACATTGCTACGGCTTCTGGGGTCGTTAAGTCCAGCAACCCTATTCCCATTCTGCATCCTGACAAATGCGTTTATCTCTCATACCTACAAATCCTTTTCAGAGCAAACACTCTAGGTACTTACATTTTAAGATGTTGCTGAAAACAAGCTACATAGCTGGAAAGTCCCAATCCTCCGTGCTGATACAATGGGCTTACAGAAATTGGTACCAGGCATGATCATTATCTGGGTGCAAATGCATCCTTTATAGTTAAAAGCAACAACTAAGCAAATGAGGTATTACAGCCCTGTCTCCCCAATGGGAAGCAAAAAGTGAGTCGTACCAGTACCTTTTGAATGCCTGCAGTTGACTCCAAGACGTTGTTCTCCGAGCCATTACTTCTGTTAATCATCCGCCACATTTGGGAATACATGCTGTCCCTCTCAAAAGGATTCATCCCTTTCACTCGGACGTGCTCATAGACTGCAGAGTCGAAGACAGTACCATAAGGAATATCCGTCTGCCTCGAGAGATCCTGGAGAGACCTTAATTGTTGGTGAAGAAAAGAGACACAGGAGACTTGAAGCCACATTTTCAAGAGGAAGGAGCTGCAGGCACGCAAAGGGCAACACACAGGAAGACAGCTGTCAAGCCAGTTTCTTTTGTTGTTTGCTTTTTTCCTCTTTTTTTTAAAAAGACAAAGCGAGACTGAAAAATTGTTTTTATGGTTTAAGATACGAGGAGGAATACGAAGTGCAAGAAAGGGGTGGAAAAAATGAAAATGGATGAAAAGAGAACAATGGAAGGAGTGAGAGGATGCTGCCAAATACTGAACTCCTCTGAGCAGGGGCAAAGGCAAGAAGGGAGCATTGCAACCCCTCCAGCCAGACGCGGGAAGTTCAACAGAAGTTAGGTAAGTGCCTACAAGAGTATGGTGCCACCACACACCTTCCTGCTGGGGAGCAGGACTGTTAGCACCAGAACTCACTAAACCTCGCCTAAAGCATCTGGGCTGAGTATTTCTATGATGTGCTACTGTGTGACATAGTGAAGAGCAGCTTTTTGGTGGCACTACTGCACTGAACTGTGCACTCATCACTCAGTATTTGCAGCAACAGGGAGATTTCTGTTGTGGCTTCATGAACTGCCTTTTTATCACAGTTGATGTTATCTCATTCAATTAATTTATTCTACTTGAAATATTATCTAGTCTTAACTGTTCCCTATAAGCAAAAAAAATGAACCAGTTTAGAATTTTCTAAGGCATTCCAAATATGGCTTTGTCAAACCTGCTTTGGACTAAAAAAATGTGTATTAGAACCCTTTAAAGTTTCCTCACCTCTTGGCCTTTGTTTTCCTGTCCTATAGAATTGCTCTCCTGTACTTTTGTTTCTCTAATGGTATTCATTACAGTTTCAAAACAGCGACTGCAATACATCTACTGCCTAAAAACCATTAAAGCTTTCCTGGCACAGATTAACTTGTATAAACTGCACAAATCTAGTGGATGACACCCAAGGACAAATCAAGGGGCTGAATGCTGTCTTAAAGTAGGAAATATCAAATTGTAAAAGCTCACTGCACCCACAGAAAATGCAAGCAGAAATGTAGGAAGCCCATAAAATTCCTAGTTGTGTTTTTGAAATGTAAATATACAGGGTAGTGAAAATGCCCCTACGAGGTGGGGGTGGAGGTGGGGAAGAATTCTTTGGTGTTTCAGGGATTGCACTAAAGAAAACAATAATCAGATCTCAAAGGATCTGTATGCCTGTGAACACAACAGAAAACAAGAAAAGAAATCAATAGAGCTCAATGGCGATTGTTTAGAGGTTAGTTGAGTCAAAAATATATCCTTTGAAATTCAGACATGCGGGCTTAGAAAAACATTGAACAAGAACTAATTTCTGATCAGATAACATATAGCAAATATAAGGAAGGGAGAAATTTAATTTTTACGAGTAAATAACTAATGGTATTAACTCCCCCACAATCCTCTTTCTTCAACAAGACAGCATTCCTCTTCAAGAACATAAGCATCAGGGAACCTGCAAAGAATCAGTGCGCATATGGGATCATCAAAGGTGAACTGCTAGATGAAGCTTTTCCTCAAACCAAGTGGATTGGACTTGACCAGGGGATTAGGACTTGTCCTTTTCTAGGAATAAAAATGTAAGACTCTAGAAGACTAAGGTATCAGGAGAACATCTACTGCAGGTAATTGGTAATTGAAAAGTAAAAAAAACCAGAAAACCAAAGAAAAACCCAAGTCTAGATAAACACCTGTGAGTTCTGAAAGATTAAATAGGAAATGGCTGAGCTGTTAGCAAAAATGTGAAACCTCATTACAGACAGTGTATGAAAGAGAAGCAGTACATATTTTTAAAAGGCTCTAGTGGTAACCAGGGGAATTAAGAAAATAAATAAATAAAATATTCTACTTAAGTGTAATAAATAATTGGAAATTTGATTGATGCAATTTTAAAGATCAGTCCTGAAGATTAGACATAGCCACCAGGTAGGTTTCTCCAGGGAAAGCAATTCAATCATTTATTACACTTTGAAATTAGTAAAAAACCCCAAGAATTAAGAAGAGGCCTTCATCTCATCAAACAATACATAGAAGGTGGAAATATGGACAGGCTACAAAGGAGGAATTTAGAAACACTTCCTGGCAACTCTGGATAGCATTAGGAAAGCCAACACTCAGCTAGAATGGATGCTCTTGAGGGACTTCAAGGGTAAGAACAGCTTTTGCAGAACCAAGAGGCTGAACAAGGAAAGTGTGGATCTGCTGAGGGGGACAGCAGACACAGCTAAGGCTGAGGTGCTCAACACCTTCTTTGTCTCACTCTTCCCCAACGAATTCTTCCAGGTCTCTGTGACTAGAGGCAAGGTTCAAAGAGGCAATGAACAACCAGAAGTAGGTGGTCAGGTAAATCCCAGCCAGACAAGGCAGGGACTGAATGAGAGCACTAGACCTACAGAAGCCCCTGGGACCTGGCAGAATGCATCAAAGTGTTCTGAGAGAGCTGGCTAATATCGTTGCAAGGCTACTTGCTTTGATTTTTGGAAGGTGAAGGAGACTGGAAGAGATTTCTAATCATTTGAGAAAGGAAATGTCCAGACTGTATTGAAAAAAGGTAACTAGGATGATTCATGGACTTAAGGCTGGTTATTGAGAGTGAGTCCTCTCAGAGCACATTTCTGAGCACACGATGGAGAAGCAGCTGTCTGGGAGCAGGTAACTTTGATTCACCCAAAGTAAGTCATGTCTGTCCAATCTGGTTACCTTCTACAGTAAAATTACCTGATTTGTGGACAAGACTAGAGAAATGGATGTAGTTTACCTTAATTACAGCAAGGCTTTCAATACTGTGGTAACTTTAATTCACCCAAAGTCATGTCTGTCCAATCAAATTACAATAAAATTAACTCATTTGTGGACAAGACTAGAGAAATGGATGTAGTTTACCTTAATTACAGCAAGGCTTTCAATACTGTCTCCCACAATATTCTTGAATGCAAATTAGGTCATTAGGTATGGCTAGGTGGGAAACCAGAAAGGTAAATTCCTGATTGGATAAACAGGTTCATAGGGTAGCTCACCTAGAGTCTGGTAACAGGTACCACAGAAGTCTAACCGGGAATATGTCTTTAAAATAACTTGGAGGAGGAGTTCACAGATGACACGACATTGGGGGACCAGCCGATTGCTCAAGGACAGGTTGCTATTCAGATGGACCTAGAAAGGCTGAAGGAGCAGGCTGACAGGAGTGGGGGGAAATTCAGCAAGGACAAATGCAAAGCCCTGGACCTGGGGTGGAAAAACTCTCTGCAACAACCCAGGCTGGGGTGCAGCTCTGCAGAAAGAAACCCTGGTAGACAGCGGTGGGCCTTGGTGAGGAACGTCCTCGTTTCACAGTGAATGAATTGCCTAGAAGTCAGTGCATGGCTGTTGCATTGACAGTCTATCTATCAGCAGCATCGCTGATGAAAGGCACTAGATAAATACAACAGACTCAATTCATCCAGTCGGTGTTACTGCTGCTGCTGCCAACATGCTTCTGTACCTCCTGGCAGTGCTCAAGAAGTGCACTGAACTGCCACAGGATGCACACTCTAACGTCCTGTAATTGCTGTGTTATTTGTCATACATATTGCTAGAAAAGTATCTAAAAAGTATTTACCAAGTCTCCAATTTCTATTGACAGCACCTAGGAAAATTGCAATCATTACTTTACAAGACTCTATATAACCATGTAATTTCTAATATAACAAGCAAGAAAGCATTTTTCTGAAGCCTTATTGCTAACTGGTATATAAATGGTACGTGTCACAAAACAGTATGGTTTGAAACGGCACCGAAGAAAAACAGCTCTTCTGTTTATCTTGTGGCTATAAAAGCAACCCTGCCTTTTCACAAAGGCAAACCAACACAAGACACGAGCTGACTCCAGAAACATATTACAATCAGGCATAGGAACCATACTACAAACCATCTGAGAAGCAAGCAAGAGTGTCATCTCACACAAAAGCATCAGCAGCAGGGAGATAACAAGGGGGAGCACTAAGCTGCTGCCTGCAGGAAGGCAGGTTGGAGCTGTGAAGTCTGCACTTCTTTACTGGTTGGTGTGCTACCCTAAAACACAGGATACCTCTCAGCTGCCCTGCTCTGCATCTTTTCATGGTTGCAGGTGAAGCTCTATGCTGAGAAAATGATGGCAAGAGGACAAGAGCAAGACAAGTATGAGTGTAAACTCTGGAGGTACTAAACACTGTGTCAGCAGTAATCTCCAAGTTTTGGTTCACCTCACCTTATGCTGAGGAGCAAGGAAGTTTTGCAGCCTTTGAGGAGTACATGTTTGCATGCTGCTGCGTAGGCAAGCTGCAAAAATGGAGACCTATCACACCAGTGACTTCATCCCCTCACACAAACATGCCAAATGGGATCATAATATCTATGACCTCCTTCAGAAACTGTTTTTTATAACCTGCAACTCTGCAGACTACTGGTACAACATTCACAACCTAGCAGCTAAAGTACAAAAAAATAAAGAGAAATGACAAACCTTGACAGAACTAATAAAATTATTAAATCATTGAGGGTCCTTGCACGAAGGAAGAATTTTATAACAGCTTTGCCTCCAGCCTGGTTTCTAGGTTGCACATTGTTCAATGTACCTTTACTCCTGGATTAAACGACTCATTCTCTGTTCAGACAAATACATTTAGTAGAGACATAAATCCCCAGCCTCACTATGTCACTCAGTCTGACCACACAGCTGCCACACCAGACCTCCAAATAAGGAAAAAGTATTTGTCAAGCGGATTAATTCCTATGGGGTATGCTCTGATGCTAGAGATAACCCTGGCGATGGCACACCAATGTTTGAGGGATGCTGTCTCATTGAAGGAAGATGGAGATCCATGTAGCAACAATGATGTAAGGGCTAAGGTGCTGGAAGCCACAGAAACCCCTGAGAACGGTCATGTAGGGTTCAACAGCCCAACTGAAGTGCATCTAACACCGATGCATACCGCATGG